CAGATCCCAGCCACACTAGCCACATCCAGCCACGTGTGACGTGTGGCTGCCACACTGGACAGCGCAAAGCATTCCATCTTTGAGAAAGTGCTGTCGGACGGCACTGGTCCAGACCCTGGAACTGCTCTGTCTGAATTTCTGGCCCACACAGTGGTCTCACTGTAAGGCCATCCTTTCCTGACAATTACTTGCAATAATGCCTTTTCAAAGACAGTATCTATTTTATCTGGTTTTTTCACTGTGAGGGATTCTTGTGGAGAAAAGAAAAAGAACTCTACCTCACATTGTGTCAGCTTAGAAATACTTAATTGGTTTGTGGGTTGGCTGACAAGTTTTAATATTCCCATCTTTGCAAATCAAATCTAAATTCAGCCGGAGGCCAAATCACTGACTATATTTAATACACAAAACTTCCATTAAAATGGAAGTAAGTGTTCTTTTTACTTCAACTGACAAAACAGAGACGATGGACTTCCTATCTTTACTTTTTACTTCTGGGGAGCCTAGGTACAGGGAAGGAAGGAAAAATAATGCCCATTATTGACACTTGGCAATTCTTAGTCTCTTACTGGCCCTGACTAAGCTTTACCTCAGCATCTTACCTAGTCTTTTAAAACTTATACAACTTGAAAACTGTGGACACCAGCACTAACCATACAGTTGCAAAAATTACAAAATATTAAGGCACAGAGTGGCCTTGGTGATGATCTACTAAAAATCCCCATTTGGTGAGTAAACAGGCTCAGAAGATGCCATTTTGGTCTAGAACCTGGCCTCTCATTTCTGGGCTCAGCGTCGTCCTGTCCACTGGGGTGAAGTGGCCATTGAAACATTTATTTGACTTTCAACATGTCATTTGTTTATACCCTACCCTCCTCTGCAACCATACTTTCCTTTAATGATACAATCGTCCTAAGGCAGGGAAGCTGCAATGGGTACTTCTAGTCAGGTATCCCTAAGGTAAGATATCATAAGTTACACACAGACAAGGGTCAGGTTTGATGAAATACATTAACTTTCTCTTTCTGAGTGTCTTATGGGTTTCCCTATAGGCCTAGGAACAGAATTCAGGGCCCATTTTCAAAGCATTTGTATCACACAGGAGTAAGCCCCACCAGAATTACAAAAAAAAAAAGGAGCTTTAAAAATGTTGTCAATAAGGAACAGGGAATCTCCGGGAAACAATCCATAGAAAGGGGACACAGAATTGAGAACTAAGCTAATAATGATGATGAAGTTATGTCCCTGATGACAGCCAACATCTGAGCACTTACTATGATCCAGGCAGTGGTCTCAGGGTCTTCCTTGAATTATATGATTACACCCTCACCCCTATGACACAGGTACCTTTGCTACTCCCATGACAGAGATGAGAACAAGAGCCTCTATGAGCTTCGTGTCCCATCCCCACCCACTAAACCATCAAACTAGACTTTAGAAAAGCTGGGGGGTTGAAGCATAACTTATAGAAACAAAATATACAGCTCACAACAGGCCTTCAGAGAAGGAAAACCTATAGAAACAGCTTTTTTAATTTAAATTTTTAACCAGTTAAGACAACATCTAGTCTCAATGATCCTCAGTTTTAAACAAAAATCAAGAGAGCCAAACTAAGCAAATCTTGTCATTTTATTTTAAAACGCATTTTATTTTACTTGTATAACATTTTAAAGCTTCTATTCCAATAAAATCAACTCAGCATGACAACTATTCTAATGGGAAACAAAATTCTCTTTTGTCAGTCCTGTCAGGAGCCAGGACAACCAGAAAGGAGTTGTGTTTGGAGTCAAACTGTCCTGTAATGTTCATGCAATTTGTCTTCTGAACAGACCAAGGGTTAGGGGAGAAGTTGTAGGGGAGCAAAGGTCGGCTGCTCCACCCAGCCCACTCCACAACCTTCTGCTAAACCGGGCCTACTTACCGAGGGTGCATGAAATTCATTCCTTCTGTCCTCCATCTCCTTCCCACCCCACCCCCCAAGTAAACTTATAATCCCAGTAACATATTTTCTCTCCACCTACAAGCAAAGGCTTTCCAGCATCCGAATGCAAATATCTGGCCCTAAAGATGCGTTCCCAACATTTCAACTGGCCATTTTACCAGTTAGTAAACCCCAAAGGCAGGTAACGTCAACCTTCTACTCATTCTGCGATAGAAAGAGAGCCATTATTCTGGTCAAAATTAAGTAAGAATTTTGATTTGGTCTTGCAAGTTCTTGGAATCCTTAAATAAAAAATGTGAACGGAGTTTGCCTTAGAGCTTTAATTCCTCTATCACTTAACTTCGCCCCTCACATCTGTGGGTAACAAGTGACAGAGGTAACATGCTACAGAGGCGAGCCAATGGTGTTCTCCTGTGTCCATTAGAGTATGTGCCATCCCTTTCCGTGACCTGAGCTTTCAGTGCTAAGTGAAGTATCTTAAATGATCAGATATCTGGTGTATGTTGGTACAAAAAAGATGATATTGGAGACCTAAGGCACAGCACATGCAAATAAAAAAGCAGGCTTCTATTTGAGTATCTTTTATAGAATTTGGGACAAAATGTAAGGGATAGAGTCTTGTTTTTAATGCCTATCCTTCTCATTTTCATACATTCAACAAATGTATACATATTTTCTAAGGCTTTTATGTCCATATAATTGAATAGCAGAAAAGGCAGGTAATTAAAAACTTGCTCTATGTTGATGTGCGTTCTTTAAAGTCCATGTTTCCTTCCCAGGTCAAGAACTGCGAAACATCTATTTTTTTCTCCTATCTCTTTTTTTAGACACACATGCTGCCATTTCCTTCTTCTCTGGTGACTGTGGTGTGACGTAGGAAGGGGAAGCATCAGCCGGCTTCTTTCCGCTCCAACCACGTGCTTTGGGCCCTGCTTGACATCTCTCACTGCTCCAGGGGAGGGCCCATGTCATCTCCAAGGAGACTGGCATAGGTCTGTCTTGTTTGATGGTCAAACTCCACTGCCTAACTAAATCCCTGTATTATTCAAAGTTTTAACAAATATTTAACAAATATTTTATTGTTTATGTGTTACTTGTCATGAAGTTAAGAAATCAAGAGTATGTTTTTCTACTCAGTAAAATGCCAAGTAGAATTTCTTACTGAACTGGAGCTTTCTATTAAAAGGGGAATTGGAGAGAACCCAAAGTTTGTACTTTTATGAACTTAAAGATGTGAACTCACATAATTATAAGTCATAAGGGCGGATTTTTACATGGTGAAAGGTCTTATAAAAGGGACCACAGAGATCCGACTTTTCAGTGGGAACATAAACGGGGCCAGTCTTTCTGCAGTGAGATGTGACAGAGCACAGCACACTCTGAAACGGCTTCATTTCCTTCTACCCAGTAATCTTTCAAGGATATACAGACTCCAAAGAAATAATCACTCTGATATATTATCTGTAATAACGATGAATTGGAAAAAATCTAAATATCCAAAAATAGGTTAGACAAATAATGGCATTATCAATGTAATAGGGTATTGTGCAGTCACTGAAAACCAGGCTTTGGAAAGGTATTTCATGACCTTGAAGAAAGTTAATGTGAGATAGAAAGTGGGAGGACTCATATGCTTGTTATAAAAAAAATTACTAAGAGTGGTCAGCTCTCAGTTTCATTGTAAGCACAAGTTTTATGTTTTTCCTTGAAATGTTCTGCATTTCCTGAAATCTCTAGAATGCAACTACGTTACTGCTATAATCAGTAAACCAAAGAATACTTTTAACAGAGAGCCTTTGGGTATTGCTTTGTGAAAGGGAACCGGCCTTGCTCTCAGGGCAGCTTTTCCTATTCTGAGGTTATCTTTAAGGTGTCTGCAGGGGGTGTTCAAAAGGCATTCAACCCAGAAATGAGTAGTACCTCCAAACTCTCCCAACTTCAGACACCACAGTGCCCCCAAAATACAAGCTCACGGGTAATCCCTACGGACTGCTGACACTGCCCTCACTCCGGTGAAGAAATCAGCAGCTCTGATCCAGGCAGGACACTCTGAATCACAGCAAGAGACATATCCACTGAGTAAAATGTTGCGGTGCAGTTCAAAGCCCGCTAAAACAAGTAAACACTGTCATCCACAGTGCCCTGGCCTCAGTTTCCTCTTGTAAATCGGGGTCTTTAGAAGAAGACAGGCACTTTAAGCCCCCATCTGCTACATAGTTCCAGGGTTTTACGATAAGAGTCTAAGGAATGAGATAAGTGGGATGACGCCCACAGATAAGTAGTATGACTTGCAGAGATTCCCTGGCTTTAGGCAGGAAAGTGGCAGATGTCTGCATGTTGTAATGGGCGTGGAGCAGCAGGGAGGAATGAAAATGCCATGCCCTGAGCTCTGAGGAGGGTGCCATGCTGGGGCAGGGGTCGCTGGCTGGGCCCTCTCCCCTGGAGCAGTGAGAGATGTCAAACAGGGCCCAGGCACATGGCTAGGGCAGAAAGAATAGGCGGATGCCTCCCCTCCTATGCCACACCACAGTCTCCAGAGAAAAAGAAAATGGCAGCAAGTGTGTCTAAAAGAAGAGATGAGAGAGAAAAATAGCTGTTTTTGTAGTTCTTGACCTGGGAGGGAGAAGGAAAGAGGAGAAGGATGTCGGACACCAATAAAGCCTTCTGGCAACAAGGGGACATGTGCAGCGCAGATGGGAGGCTCACTTCTAAGGAAGAAGTGGGGCCATAAGGTGACCTTTATAAATCTCTGAATTCTATAGCAGTCCCTGCGGTATCTTCTATCTGAAACTACTGGAACCCACAGGGGATTGGAATGGATAGAGTCTCTGTCTTTCCCCTGAGTTACTGTGCTAGCAAACCAAACAAGAGCAGAGCGTGCCCCAAGGACAACCACCAAAGCCAGACAGTGATTATGTGGTGCTGTGGGGTATGCAGCGGGATGGTGTGCATGTGCGCGTGTACGTGCGCGCGCGTTTATGTGCGAGCGCCTGTGCCGTCCAACATCTCCCAGTTGCCAGGCCAACCTCAGCTCCCTTCTCCATCCAGTCCTACTCACTGGGGGATCACCAGGCGCTTTCCAGGAACTGCTTCTGTCCTTCAACAGGGCCTTCCTGTGAGCCCAGACCCCTGGGGCCCTGTTGAGGGGAGGAGGGCAAAGGGGTGCACAGGCATCCGCTGAGAGTTCAGCAGCCTCCTGAGGACAGGAAGACACGAGGCTTGTTACAATGGGAGTGGAAAGCTGTAGCACAGCCACAGGGGAGCTCAAAAACCGTCCCTCCGAGCCTGAGCTAAATGTTGGCTTTTAAAGAGAAAGGATGTACCAGATGGATGAAAACCATGGTCAAAGGAAACATCTTCAGAAAAGAGACAGCGTGCGTGTATGTGCAGACGCTCACACAGTCCTCCTCTCAGGCATCCGCACACGCTGTCCTGGCCCCTCAGGAGAAGAGCTCAGAGGGGCAGGGAGTGACCGGCAGCAGGCAGACTGCCCAATACCACCTCGTTGGTAAGACTTCGTTGTTCTTAACCAACCCCTAGTTTAGCCATCTTTAAAGTAACAAACACAGTAACACAGCCTGGTGGTTCTATCACTGAAAACACTAGGAAGTGGTGAATGATGGCCAGGAGGAGGCATGCCAGAGGACAGGAACTCAGGAGTAGTTTTAGGGGACCCATTAAATTAACTCAAGAAGAGAAGCAGTAGGAGGTATATCCATTTGAAGATTAGGTGTTATTCAATGACTAAAACAAGTTATAGTATTCAATCCCATTTAGTATAACAGACTTATTGTGGGTTCCATAAACCCTATCAATGTCGTCGGTTTTCAGTGTACAAACGTGAAAGCTCTAGACGTGTCTGCCAATCTCTCCTTTTGAGATTTGGTACAGCAGGTTTTTAAAAATTTCTGTTTGTATACAAAATCACCATCTTTTATGCATTTTTTTAAAAAAAATTAAGCCTTACTATTACCTACATTGACTGATTTAGAAGTTTTTAATTATAAGATTGTAGCAGGCTGGTGAGGGAGGCAGGATGGGGGTAGTAGGAGAGAACAATACAAAATCTTCCGTTTGGGGGACCTCACAGATCCTCATGTTCTCAAAGGCCCAACTACAGGTTCAAGAAAGACTATTTATTGCCCTAGCTGGTTTGGCTCAGTGGATAGAGTGTTGGCCTGTGGACTGAAGAGTCCTGGGTTCGATTCCAGTCAAGGGCACATGCCCAGGTTGTGGGCTCAATCCCCAGTAGGGGGCTTACAGGAGGCAGCCGATCAATGATTCTCACCATTGATGTTTCTATCTATCTCCCCCTCTCTGAAATCAATAAAAAAAATATTTAAAAAGAAAGACTATTATTTAAAAGATTCTTTTTATAGACAAAAACTCTTTTTTTAAAAAATATATTTTTATTGATTTTTTACAGAGAGGAAGGGAGAGGGATAGAGAGTTTTAAACATCGATGAGAGAGAAACATCGATAACTGCCTCCTGCACACCCCCCACTGGGGATGTGCCCGCAACCAAGGTACATGCCCTTTACCGGAATCAAACCCGGGACCCTTCAGTCTGCAGGCTGATGCTCTATCCACTGAGCCAAACCGGTTAGGGCAAGACAAAAACTCTTGATCTACGGAAACTCAATAAGAAAGATCAACACATACTAAAATACTTTATGCCTCCAAGAAATGTAAAAATTAAATGGAAGAAGTACTGACTCCAAAATTTTATACCTACTTATAAAGTGAAAAAAAGAAATACTAATGACCAACAATAGCCTTTGATATATATGATTCCCTTATTTAAGCAAACATTCATCAGGAAATTATTGTGAACAAAAATGCAATACACTTGCTGACTGCCCCCTTCATGCTTCAATGTATATGGTATGAATATAACTATGCACACACAAGAAAATGTGATTTAGACCAATTTATGGGAAACCTCAGTTTGAATTAGGGCCTAACTGCTCATACAAATAATTTTTGAAAAAATATAGCATTAGCCCAGCAGGTGTGGCTCAGTAGGTAAGTGTCAACCCAGGAATCAAGAGTTTGCTGGTTCAATTCCCAGTCAGGTCACGTGCCTAGGTTGCAGGCTTGATCCCCAGTAGGGGGTGTATAGGAGGCAGCCAGTCAATGATTCTTTCTCATAATTGATGTTTTTATTTCCCTCTCCCTCTTTCTAGCTCTCTCTGAAATCAATAAAAAATACATTTAAAAATTACAGAATTATCCTTGTCTAAAATGTAATTCTAACAAATAAAAGATCTTAGAGAACACATTCAAGAAAAGAAGGAAGATCTACCAGCAGAATCTCCTAAGAACTTGAAAAGTTGGTGCTTTTATAGCCAGTTCAACATAAGATGATTAAACCTCCCCTTATGATCTTTGCAATACCCTATCAATCTCACTTATTTGTTTAGAAAATTGATGAAGCTTTACAGTACTGCTAAGGACATTATGTGTCCACTTCCCCAAAGTCCACTCATTAGAAATCTTTCTAAATTGAGAAAAGGCAAGCCTATGTGCACAGTAACAAATAGTGAGAAATACTATTTCCAGAAATGCTGGGCTCAATTGCTTCCTAAAACATTCTTTCCTGTGACACTGGAGGTACCTCCAGCTCGATGACTTCAAAGAAGAACCAAAAAATGTTCAAAATGATGTGTTCTCCTGCTAACATGCTTTGGTGAGTGAATTGGAAATATTCAAGGCTGCTTTGTGCTAAAAAGACTGCTGACATTCCTGAGAGGATTCACATTTTCTCCGTCCACGTGTACACGAACACTCTGGAAAGCCTGCAGGCGGGCACACCAAGGCCACTTGTCCTGCTGGAGAAGAGTTTACTGGTAGACAGGCGTACCTCGTTTTATTGCACTTCACTCTGTTGTGCTTCACAGATGTGGCTTTTTTTTTCATTGAAGGCAAGACCCTCCACCAACAAAAAGACCCCAACTCAGTGTATTGTGATACTTGCTTTATTGCAGCAGTCTGGAACAGAACCTGCAATATTTCCGAGGTACGCCTGCACTGTATTCATGGAGAAGGAGGTGATGCGCTACATATCATGTCCTAGGTCACCAGGCTATTAGATCTGCCTCTAGTGACATTTATATACACAAAATATATATACATATACACACATGCACAGCACACAGCACACTAATACCTGTGTGTATGTGTGTTTATAAAACAGCCTGCCACATAAGGTGCTTATTTCTCTCTATAAGCAAGGCAATCACAACACTTTTTGGACCCACGTGATTTCTGTATCGTATGTCAGACTACTTGTTATGGTCTCTCATTTAGAGAATGGGGGAAAAGCTAATAGGGCACTTACACTGAAGTCTTATAAACACTGGCTGATCACTAAACCAAACAGGGAGATTAAAAACCAAACACAATTTTTTTTTAATCCCTAAGCCAAACCTTAGAGATACTAATTTAGTAGATCTGAATTGAAACCTTGGCCTATAAGTTTTCAAACCCCCTAGCTTATGACCACCACCCCCCCTTCCCCCACCCTCCCCTGGATTTGGAAACCCAGAGGTAGAGCAGAAAAGGCGCTGAGGTGGGTGGAGCAAGCACAGGTGTGACCTGCTCAGCATTTTCTCCTGAGGGTCTAGTACAGAGTGCCCACTCAATGATGTGTGACATGAATCCAGAGCTGAAAGCAAAGAGACCACACACTCACTTTCAAGTACCTATTTGGGATCAACGCTGTCTTCCCCCTGAGCTTGTGAGAGAGTAGAGCCCTTAAGTAAGTGTGGGGAACAGAAAGGAGGAGAAGCAGTCATATCTGCAGCAAGAGTGTCCTAGCACAGTCTCTCCAGAACGCTGAGGACAAGGTCTGAAGTCAAGGTTTAAGTCACCACATGACAGGACAATGAACAGTTTGCCTTGAGGCACAATGAGGAAGCTGTAGGTAAGATTACCTAACTGTGCTAAGTGTCTGGAGGCAGAAAAACATGGTGTGTTATAAAAGGATACACAGAGTGGAGGGGGGGAAAAAAGAGAGAGAAAGAAAAAAGAAAAAGAAAAAAGAAAAAAATTCCATTCCATCTGTGCAGCCCTAAGCCTAAAACACGGCAATCTTTATTTAGAAAAAAGTTAATGAAGATTATGGAATGCAAAATGACTTTTCATCAACTTATTTCTCGAAAAGAAGCATGAATTTGCATTTTCATTGAACTGATCAAATGTTATCTAAGAACTGCTTAATTGCCTTAATGGTTTAATTCTATTTGCTGCCAATCTGATTAGCAAAGTGTGTGTCTGCGTGTGCACCCGTGTGGGCTGGCACTAGATGGGAGGGTGAATCCTATTACTGAAAGAACAGCAATGTGGAGCTGGCTGGCTCTGGTTAATTGAGAAACCCTGAGTGGTGTGAGGAGGTCACCCTATCATTTAATTTTCTCCTCTCCTGTCTTCCCAGTCACTTGTTCATCTCGGAAACTTGCCTTAGATTTGAGAGCGCGAAGAGCATGTGCTAATTTGGGTTAAGCAGAAGGTGAGGCCAGGTATGACTGCCAGTGTAGTGATTTAATAGGAACTTGGATATAATTTAATAGAGCCTTCGAGTCTTGGCCAGACATGGTTAATATGGGTTGGGGGAACATCTGATAAAAGTTAATACGTACATTAATCTCTCGGGACTTTGCAACAATACATGACCTAACAGAGTAAGGATAACCCCCTGGGACCTGCATGGGAGCCTGTATCTCCTGGTACAGGCTCTGGGATAGCTGGTTGCTCTGGGGCAGGTAAAAGACTGCGCTTTTGGAACCAGTTCTCACCTTGGGGGAAGTCACATTCTGTCTCTGTGTCTCAGTGTCCAAACTTCAAACTGGAATGACTGGTTTTAAATTTGCTTTTTGAAGAGCCCTGGGTTTCATAGATGTACCTCAGGATCTACACAGGAAGTTCAAGGGAAGCTGAGCAAAGATTCATGACACCCAATTCTGAGCTCCCCATCTCTCCTTTGATTTGACTGTGCTTTGATCAATCTGCAGTATTGATGTGCTGGACAAGATTCAGTGTGAAAGAAATATTTTATCAGTTAGAAATATATGATCACCCTTGGAGGAGATGAGCTCTAAGATTCTGTATAGTTTTAATAAAGTCTTCCTTCTGAACATGCTGTTTCTTCTGCTAGAAAAATTCATCTTCCTCTTCACAACTTTTTGAGCTCCAAC